TATTATCAGAGCTGGAAACTGTTGCTGCTTCATATTTTTTTGGAAATTGATACTTTTTTCAGGATTCTTTGATTAATAAAAAGTTAAAAAGAACAGCATTTATTCAAAATATGAATCTTTTCTAACAATATAAATTTTGTTAGATCACTTCTTTGCTATCACTTCTTAACAATTTAACACATCCTTGCTGAATAAAAGTTTTAATTTCTTTCAAAAAAAAGAAAGAATAAAAATGTACTGACCACAAACTTTTGAACGGTAGTGTATATTGTTAGAAAAAGTTTCTATTTTAAATAAATGCTCTTCTTTTTAACTTTTTATTCATCAAAGAATCCTGAAAAAAAGTATCACAGGTTCCAAAAAAATATTAAGCAGCACAACAGTTTCCAGCACTGATAATAAATCAGCATATTAGAATGATTTCTGAAGGATCATCATTCTGAAATGATGCTGAAAATTCAGCTTTGCATCACAGGAATAAATTAGATTTTAATGTATATTAAAATACAAAAAAATTGTTACATCATAATAATATTTCACAATATCACATTTTTTCCTGTATTTTTGATCAAATAAATGCAGCCTTGATGAGCATAAGAAACTCCTGTAAAAAAACATTAAAAATCGTTCTGATCCCAAACTTTTGACCGGTAGTGTACATCACAGTTGCATAACTTCAACTTCAAAATTTTATTAATTAATTTAAAAATTAATTTAAAATCAACAAAATAAAAAGTTTGAGTTTTTTTTTTATTTTTGCAAGAGTATAAGTATAAACACAACAAGGCTATAAAAGTGGACTGGTGAGTAGATGAAGTGATGACGTTTAATGTCCGACAACTTCTGTAGTTCTGTAGTCCCATTTAACCACTTGTTAGTGACAACATTTTTCAAGAAACATAAAAGCTTTAAAAAAAATCAATCATAAACAATGATTATATGCCATTTAGGACACTGTTGACAAGCAAGGCCTGGTGTGGCTGTTGAAGGAAGCACTTCATAAGCTGAAGGACACAGCAGTCAGTTATACCAACAAAGCAGCTCTGGGTAAGTCTATATTGTTGGCTGTTCTGTTATATATGGTTTTTTATGAAAGCTAGTGCTTTTTCCTGTAACTTATGCCTGATTTATCCTCTATCCTCTGATTCTTTTCCAGCCGACGACTCGCCTGTGGTAAACAGGCAGGTAAAGGAGGCCGATAGTGAGACGGGAGTCAGTACAGAAGCTGCAGAAGCAGTAAGATCCACCATGGAGCGTGTGGTGGCTGCATGGGTGTCCTACAAAGACTGCCTGTATCTATTACAGGTCTGGCTGGGCCAGGAGGGACAATCAGAGGCACACGGGCAGGAGGTACTGTAAAGCATTTGCCATTAAAAACAGGATACAAAGTATACAGTGGCCAAAAAAAAGTGTTTGAACACCTAAGCTGCACTAAAAATGTATTAATGTAATTTCTCTTAGGTTAGGGCATAATGTTTGAATGTGGTTGCTTTTTATCAGAGGTTCATTTGTCATTTGTCTTGTGATCTCTTTTATAATGCAGGACAAGCATTTTTCCTCCAACTTGAATGAGTGGAGATCACGTCAAGCCCAGCTGAATGAGGCGGGAAACTTTCTCATTGATATGAGTGATGCCTCCACCAGCCACTCTCTGACTGAAGAGCTCCGCAAACTGAACATACAGTGGGCTGACTTTATAAAAAGGACCAAGTTTGTGAGTCTTGTAAAGACAGACCACTCTAGTTTTCAGCAGGGTCCAAAATGAACACTTGCCTAATGCCAAAATACAAGTAAAAGTTGTCTTTGTTGAAGAAATAAAGCAATTTCTAGTAACTTTAAAAGAAACTGCTCCTTATTACTTTAAGTCAGTTTGAATGCCAATCTGAGTGATTTAAAACAAAGAGACAAAAGCACAAGCAGTATCTCTCACAATTTGAATTTTGACAAACATTTTCAGTGGAAATTATTCCATTCAAGTATCTAAGGTGCCTGTTATAAAACTGACACATCTGTCAAATGTAATATTTTTCATATTAAACAACCAATTTCAGTATATAATTTGACTATGAGAGCCAAATATTTTTGTATTGGCAACAGAAAACATGATGCAGGTGTTTCTCACAAAATATTCAAGGAAAAAGCTAAATAATATCCCATTGTCAAGGACAGAAATAATGCAAAAAAAAGTTTCATAGCTGGTAAGAAATATTTATTGCCGGTGAATTTACTCAGTTCATTCTCAAGCAGGTGTGGCAAAGAGTTTATTTTGAATCCTTGTTATGTTTCAATTTAAACTTGTTTTACTGGATTGAATAAAGAGTTTTGCCTTTAACCCTGCCAAGACCCAGCCTTTTCTGATTCTCTCTTTAAGTTGCTTAACTTGTTGGTGGATCGTTACTACTATTTTTCACTTTCTTTGAGTAATACACTGACAAGCTGGTACTTTGGCCCATTGTGTTTCAAAACCACAGGAGCATTCTGTTTCATCATTTGTGCTTACTGTTCATCAAAGCATGTGCTTGCTCTTGTTCTTTGTCTTAACATTCTACACCCTTGAAAAGATTGTGATTGTTGATTAAAAAAAAAATAATAAATTTTTCTTGTTTAACAATAAAGTGCTTATTCTTTTGTAAATGGCATGTTTTCAGGCAGTGGCCCCTCAGCCCATCACTGCGGTCCCGGGTGTCCAAGCTGCGCAGTCTCTGATGCAGGAAGCCAGCTGGGTGCTTAGAGAGACTGTGGAGGTGTCATCTGGACCTCTACGCATTTACAGAAAGAAACTCCAGGTATTCTGATCTTTCTGTCCTAGCTGTAGTGCTTCATACTGTTCGTATTGTTATACTAGATATTTCTTCATTTATTTGTCTTTCTTTATGTTTGTTTTCTTTCTTTTTTTTTTTTTTTTTTTTTTTTTTACTTTGTCTTGACTGTTTCTCACAATCATTTTCTTTTTTCCACTTTCTTGTCAAGGTTGTTTATGCTTGTCTTTTTTTTCACTCAGGGCATAATTAAGAAGATGTCAGCGTTCAATTTGAACTCTTTGTCTCCATCTCCAGACTGCAAAGAAGAAACTCTACAGAAACTCAGACAAACTCTTCCAGAGGTCAGGCAATATTCCTTTTAGGTTATACATATATGTATTTACAGTAAGAGACAGTTCACCCAAAAAGGTTTTTTTAAATTTTTTTTTTTACTTGTCCTCAGTTATCCAGTGGAACACACAAATACAATTTTAAATAATCTTCATGAGTCATCGAGTCTGTGAGTGAATAAATCACTCTTTTGAGTCAGTCCTTTCCAATGAACTGGTTCATCAGACTGATTTGTTCATATTTGTGTATATATACATTTATTTGAAATGGGGCTGTCACAAAATCATATTTTTATAACAATTATCGTGGCTAAAAGAATTCACAGTAACAATTTTATTGCAAAGTCTACAGAAATCTTATGAATAATGTGACTAAATTAAATAATGCTGTCAGTCAAATTCGTCTTTAACTTTTATTTTGTGTTTTAACAAAAAAGGTGTGTTGAGAGACGGAGATAGACATTATAAAAATAACTTTACAAAAGTGTACAAAAACAACTGTTCATCGGCACTTCTAAATGATTTTGTGCGCAGTAGTAGTTACATATTGCATTAAGATTTTTTTGTTTGTTTTTGTTTTTTTGTATTTTATGACAGGTGGCAAACAGAGTTAAGGTGCAGTACTACCATCTATGTTGGAGTGTCAACCAACGATCTAAACACTCTGTGTCTCTAATGAGAATAATTGATTTAACTAGGAACTGAACAAATCTGTGGACATGTTTCTTGGCAGACATTTGAGACTTTGACCCGGGTGGATCAGGTGTGTGAGAGACTCCAAAAAGCAACATCTCTGCTCGAGGGCAGGCTGGCTGAGCTTGAAAACTGGAGCACAGAAGCCCAAGAGGTCTGCAACCACCTAAAAGAAAGGCAGCATAGGGGCCACCGGGGGCCACATCCCAGGGCTAAAGTGAGCAAAATCAAGTTCTTGAGTTCATTTGGTTGATTAAAACCGTGCTTTCACATTGTCGTCTCTTGTGATTCTCATTGCAGGGACTGATCTCCAGAGGTCTACTGTTGGAAGGACAGGTGGTGACAGAAGGTGAGGACCTGCAGGTGCTTGTGACATCGGTGCAGAAGAACTCCTCCCTGCCTTACCTCAGAACATCTGCATTACAAGACCGACTGCAACGGACTGTCTCACACTGTCAGGTGAATTTCATTGTTGGCCAGTATCGGTTAAGGAAAGCTTAAAATCATGATGTTTTAACTTCTTACACCCTTCTGTTTGTCTGTCAGGAGGTTACCGAGATGCTCAGTTCTCATGGAGTGAAGCGTGGAGGACAGCCTAAAGGTGCACAGCCCGCTTCCAAGGTTTTCGTACAGGCATATTCTCAGCCTGAATCCCAAATTGGAACCATTCAACACCATCAGAAACAGACATTCTCCAAAAGCAGCATACTTTCTCCAGAGAGCCCAGTAGAACCTCAAAGCCAAGAACTCTATTCTTCTCAGTTGGAAGCCACCAGTGGTGTACAGCCCCAGGTTCTCCAACAGTATCATGATAAATCTCCAAAAGACCAAAGAAAAGCTATGTGCCAAGTACAACATACAGAGCTCAAACAGCCTTTGTTGTCATCTGTTGTTGGCAGGAAGGTTGAAATGAAACCCCAGACTGAAGTTCAACTGATCTCTGTAGTCTCGAGCCTAACCAGTAGCTTTGGACCATCAGACCTTCAAGCTGCCTCAGTAAACTCAAGCCAAATTAGTGGCTTTGGACCCTTAGACCCTTTGCAGGTTATCTCTGTAGACCCAAACCAAACCAGTGACTTCAGACCATCAGAGCTACAGGTTCTCTCAAGCCAAACCAGTGGATTTAGGCCATTAGACTCTATCCAGGTTATATCTGTAGATTCAGGCGAAACCAGGGACTTTGAACCATCAGACCTTCAGGTTATCTCTGTAGACTCAAGCCAAACCAGTGGCATTGAACAATCAAACCCTCTGCAGTCTCTATCTTCAACTACGTCCAGCCCAAGCACATTGCTTACATCGGTTACCATGACTCAACTAAAAATGCCAGGTGAGCAGCATCTTGGTTCACCACCAAAATGGCAACCTCAAACATCCTTGGTGACACCACACCAAAGACAAAGGGTTCTGGCCAAAAGTCACAGTTTTCCTCAGCCCCATGAGCCATCACAAACTCTGCCTGTAACCTCTCTTGCATCCTGCCCAAGCACTTTGCATACACCGGTAACAGTGACTCAACAAACGATGCCAATCAAGCAGCCACCAAAATGGCAACCTTCCTTGGTGACCCCACACCAAAGACAAAGGGTTCTGGCCAAAAGTCACAGTTTTCCTCAGCCCCATGAGCCATCACAAACTCTGCCTGTAACCTCTCTTGCATCCTGCCCAAGCACTTTGCATACACCGGTAACAGTGACTCAACAAACGATGCCAATCAAGCAGCCACCAAAATGGCAACCTCAGACCTCCCTGACGACCCTACACCAAAGACAAACAGTTCTATCCAAAAGTCACAGCTTTCCACAGCCATCAGAGGTTCCAGGTGTTCCCCATGTCCCAGTACAGAATGAGGTGTATGCCAGAGCTCAGGCTTTGGCCAGGAGCAGACTGGATAAAGCCAAAAAGCACCTGCATGAACATATACAAGATGTCATCACTGTGATCAGTACCAGAGACAAATCAAAAAAACAAGCTAATAAAAAACAGGTGAGGCCATTTAAAAATGTGTAGTTTTTAATCCAATAATTATTTGCAATCAAAGAATGGATTAAAAAAAACATACGTTTGGTCAAAACACATACACGTAAGCTGTTAATGACTTCTGATATTTTTTGGTTCTATAGGCGGTGTCGTGTCTTCTCAGGCCTGCAGTGTTGGAGACGTTTCTAGAAGCCGTGAAGGGAATGGGGGATTTCTGCTCTGATGCCCAGCTCAGAGACATGGACCTCCTCTGTCAGTCAGTCAGGGCCCAGTGGGAGGTAAGAGAGAGATCATGGTCCTTCTAGCTGTGCATTAGTGTATGCTGCTCAGTACAGTCGTAAACACAAACCATCAGAACTGGATTGTTGTGATTGGTTTAGGTAATGCTTGCGAATTACTCGTATCTATATGCCATTTATGTTTTCCTGAAAAGTTTTAAAGGTGCATTCTATTAGTTCTTTAGTTAGCGTTAATGTTTTGGGTCACTTCATTTCAACATGGCAAAATACAATGGGGGTTGGCCCATACGGTGCATAATTAAAACGCGTGGACATGTATGGACGTAGGTATTATTATTAATAAATCTCGAGTTATGCATGAATATGTTTGCACAGAGGTTTTATTTAAAAGTATTTACATGTATATACAGTTATATTTACTGAAATGTGATACAGTGCATGTATCTAATCTAGTTTGTTTTTGTTTACTAACCTTTGGTATATTCTGATACTGGGTAGATAAGCTGGCAGTCTGGATTGACCAATGCCGCCATGGTTCTTATGTGACTTTGTCCCAGCATTAATGATTAAATCATAGCATCTTTTGATGGATCTTCCATATATATCACCCTGTCCTGTTTAGGCAGTGTAATTCTGTGTGTGTGCAGCTAACACATTCCTTAATCTACATGCCTCTGCATGTGAACATAACTGCATTAAGTCCAAATTAGTCTTTTCTTTGCTCAGTGCCTGTAACTTTTACTCACTACATGGATTTTCTTTCAGTTTATGAAGTTTTATTCCTGTGCATCAAGTCTCTGAAAGTTCTTAAACCTTATTCAGTAGTTTTTATTTAAACCTCAGTTTTATCATTTTATAATCATCAAGGGTTGATTTTGTTGGGAACTGGGATAATTTATTGACTGCATGCATGTTTAGACGGGTTGATATAGACGGTTACTTGTTTTCCTTTCATCTATATATCACATTGTGCATGCATTTCTCTCTAGTCACAACCAGTTAGCCAAGTTAGCAAGCCTCATTACCTGTAATGGGATTTTCAGCACTCTTTCTAAATGGCCACGAAGAAGACTCCTTTGCTGACTGATATTAACTCCCATTAGCGTAAACTTTGATGTTCATCCCCAAACCATGATTGTAATACATTTTTTAAATATTTTTTTGTGATAGACAAATTTTTATTTCATTATCACTATTGTCAAAGAGTTTGGAATTAGTTTGTTTTGGGTTTACACCTCAGGTATGTGCCACAGCAGCTGTGCGTTCGGTGCATCTGGAAGCCTTGAGAAGTATTACAGAGAGTCTGCAGCCTGCAGAGAGTGTTCTTCTCAGCACCACCCATCTGAGAACAGACACAAAGAAGGTGGAGACTGTTCAGTGCCGCACAGACTCCACAAATGACTTGGCACCATGCCAGGATGGGTACGTAAGAAACAGAGTGGAAATTTTGAGGTTATATAATTAAAATATCTAGGTTATATTATATTAATAATATATATTCTGATACAGTATATGTTTTAGAAATAAACATTTAGTAAACGTGTAATAGTAGAAAAAAATCTATTTCAAATAAATGCTGTTTTTAGTACAACTTTTTCAGTATTGACAATAATCATTTTTATGGAGCGCCAGATGAGCATATTATTTTAGCATATTAGTGATTTCTGAAAGATCATGTGACACTGATGATTAAATTAAAAATTAGAAAAGAGTTATTTTAAATTGTAATTATACTTCACAATATTACTGTTTTAATGTATTTTTGATCAACGCAGTCTTAGTGAGCGTAAGAGACTTCTTTAAAAAACATATAAAAATATTAACAACCCCAAATATTAAATATTATTGCATGTCTTTTTCAACTCTGACCTTTCTTATAGACCGTCTAAACTAACTGTTGTCTCTTATGTATTTGTGCTTGTGTACAGTACATACCTCACATAAATACATTTTCTTCAAAAGTTAGGTTTAGTATATAGTAATTATAGTTAGCTTTATATAAATGTTTATGGTACTATATGTCATTTACATAACTAAGTAAACGTGCACGTGTGTGTTCACAGCAGGGGGGGAGCAGTGAAGGACTGTGTCCTGCTGAGAAAGACTGTACTGCTGGATGACCTAAGCCTCGACCACTCACAGGTACACGTGATCATTTGCTGCATGTCTGTGTGCGTGTGACATGACAATTTTATCTCTTTTTGATCAATGCAGTATTTTTTTTAAGAGTATTTTTTTTATTATTATTCTTTCTCCGTCTCTCACACCAGCATGACTTTACTTGAGCATCTGTGAGCTCCATATCTACCCAGTGTTAACATGGCACGTTTTCTTGGCATGGTCAAGTTTGCTTGTAGCCAAACACAGAGATAAACCTTATGAGAATCTGATTGGATGTTGTTGACCTTCTTAAGCACATGGACAGCTCAGAGGAGTTAATCTGCTGAGATTGGCTAGGGCTGCTGAACATTGTATTGGCTTGTTCTGGGGTCGTTTGACCCCTACATTTAATGACGCTGTGGTCGTTCTCTCTCATAGGCTGTTGTCCAGACCAACATTGTGGAGATAAAACAGATACCAGAGAGGACCGTCATCCACCCCTGTTCAGCACAGGAAGAGAGGGTTACCACAGAGGAAACTCAAAGCAGGTAAACACTTTTTGAAGTTACTGAACCTTCAAGAAATTGATATATTTCCCTACTCTGTCAATAGTATCTAAAGACGTAAAAATCTAATATAAAATCAATGTTAGGACCTTTCTATATGCAACTTATATGCTGCTACCTTTTAAAATTCTCATAATGATTACTTTATGAAATAAATATGTATTTAAATTCTATTATTTATAAATTAAAATCTAGAATGTTATCCTTATAAGCATTTTATGTACAAATTTTGTATATGCATTTTTCCCCTTCCAGCTACAGTGCTGTTCAGTCAGTCTTCCAGCAGCAGCTGCTTAACAACAGTCAGCAGCTAGGATCAGAGTTTCCCATCAGCCCCGGCAGCAATGCCAGTATCTCTGCTGACTCACTGAGAATTCAACTCCAGCACCTACTGGTTAGTCTCCTTCACCACTTTCCTGCATCTGGGGTGCATTTTGTATACAAATAGCTGTGTGCTCATTTAGGCTCTTAAGGACCGGACAGAGGCTCTTTGGCGTGAGTTTGAGCTTCAGTATTCCCAGAGCTCTCAGCACATGGAAGATGGCTGTAATATGGAGCAGGAGAGAACTCGGCTTATTCAACAGTGGAAGGAACAACAGATGTGCTTTCAGGCCAGGTGAGAGATGTAGTCAATCCAGAATGCAGACAAACTCTGTGGATAAGGAAAAATATTAATTATAATAATTTCTCATTCATTTCTGAAAAGTATCTATGGGAAACAGTTCAGAGTAAATAAATATAAACTATTTTATCCAATGTCCAACTTTATTGATATCAATTCTCAGGCCACCCATGTGGAGCTCTATTTCTGTGGTGCAGAGTTGTTGTTGTTCTAAAGCCGATCCAAAGGTTTCATGACCATGTTGCAAGGAAGCTTGCTAGCTTTTGGAGCAGAGCTACTGTTAGCCATAAGTATAACACTGTGTCTACACCGGACTTGTGCAGCGCAGTGCACTGCAACAAAATACTATAGAACCCATTATAATCATTTATGCAGTCTACACTGGATGCGTCATGACAAATCCCTGACAGTAAACTGAGGCCTTGTTCTATTTATGACATACACGAAGTTCAAATGATTTGCAATGGTTGCTTATCGCGTCCAGTGTAGACGGCCTTAAGCTGTCCCATACAGTGTAGACACGGTGTAAGTGGCACAATAATAATGTTATTTTATATGTTGTTCAGGGTGAAGTCCCTTGAAACTGCGGTAGAGCTGCTGGAGTCTGCGGACAATCAGATCAGACTGATTTCTGATCATATCAAACAGATTAGTCAGAAACCTCTGAATATTAGAAACTTTGCCGTTGCTGATCCCAAAAATCTACATGAAGAAATAAAGGTACATTATCCTCCAAATTCATCTTCATGCTTGCAGATACTTGTAGATCTAAATGTTTTTCTCACCTCACAATCAGCAAATCGAACAACTGACACTAAATTTCCTAGGAAAATATGACTTTTGATAACTTTACCTTTAGGAAATATTTGCTTCCTCATTCAAAGCATACATTTAAATATTTGCGTAATGTACCTTACATGGACTGATGTACTTTGCATGTTCAGCGTCTAGATGAAAGTATCGAGAAGGAGCTGTTTCTGCTTAAGAGTGACGGTTCAGTTAGTGATGCTTCTCATCTGAGTCCCATTGAGCTCCAAGCTCATCTTCCTCTGCAGCAAACGCTCCACGGCCACACAATATGCTTGGACCAGCAAAGACAATGTCTGAGAAAGAGTGAATCAGCCCTGGTGGGACTCGTGAACCTCCTATCCCATCTCCAGAAGGTGAATGCCGAATTCAATGCAGCTCACAACGCATCAAATCACAGTTTAGTCTCTATCCGGCAAAGCCTTCAGCAGGCCAGGGATGAATCAGTTCAGCTAGACCAACTGCTGGATGATGCTGGTATGAGAATAACTCTGGATGATAAACCAGGCAGCTGTCATGAGATGGTTTCAGCTCTGGCTCTGCGTGTTGAAGAGGTCGAGGCCAGACTGGCTGTAGGGCTGAAGCAGTCTGACAGAGGAGGGAAAGGAAGAGTGGAGGGAGAACAGAGGGACAGAGCGTTCGGTAGGAAGAGGATGGGCCTGCAGGTCGCTCTGAGGGAGGTGCTGACGGCACTCGAAAAACATGGGCTGAAGGAGCCCACACTTCCTGCACTACAGCACAGTGGAGCGCCCAAAAGCTGATGACACTTGCTCAGTCAAACCCCTTTCAGACAGAGAAGGACGTGTCTGTCATGGAGGTAAAACCTTTGTTAGTTGACAAACAATTTTAGGCATAACTTTCAAATACACTTATTTTAGAATTGGAGACCAATGTTAAATATATTTGGTGTTAAATTAGAAAAATATATCATTATAACTTGTAACTTGTCATTAAGTGAACATTTATGGAAAAGAAACATGATATTGTTAGTGATATTTACACTACCATTCAAAAGTTTGGGGTCAGTAAGATTTTTCTTTGAAATAAAGGACACGTGATCAAAAGCAAATAAGGAGATGTATAATGTTACAAAATAATTTGTTCTTTTGAACTTTCTCTTATTCAAAGAATCCTGAAAAAGGAAAATATGCATCACGGTTGGGCTGAAGGAGCCCACACTTCCTGCACTACAGCACAGGTCAGCAGACTTTAAAACAGGACTGCTTCTCTGTGTTTTTTTTTTCTTTCTTTGCTTTGCATACAGTTTTTTCAAGGAAAAATGTAATTAAATTAATCCAAAAATGCTAGTAATATTTATTAAAATAATAATTGCAATATACATTTTTTTTAAATCAGGAATGCTTCTTTTTCCTCTTGCCTTGCATACAATAAATTAAATGTGCTTTAGAAATCATTTAATACATTTTTTTAAATTAACCTTTTTGATTTAACTTAATTTATTATAACAAGGTGCTAGTTATGGTAATTAAAATAACAATTGTAATATGCAATATAAATTAAAATACAATAAAAATTAGGGCTGTTTTTTCAGTATTTCATACAGTATTTCTAAAGCATATTTAATTTAAATATTTATTAAAATAATAATTGCAATATACATTTTTTAAAAATCAGGAATGCTTCTTTTTCCTCTTGCCTTGCATACAATAAATTAAATGTGCTTTAGAAATCATTTAATAAATTTTTTTAAATTAACCTTTTTGATTTAACTTAATTTATTATAACAAGGTGCTAGTTATGGTAATTTTCTCAAATAATGTACAGTATTGGAATTAACCTGCTATTTCAGGTGACTGAGAAGACAGTCTGTCATCTGGACAACCTTCAAGCTGGCTTTTCTCTTTGGGAAAAACTCCTACTGTTGGCTGGAGAAGTGGAGGGCTGGAGCGCCCAAAAGCTGATGACACTTGCTCAGTCAAACCCCTTTCAGACAGAGCAGGACGTGTCTGTCATGGAGGTAAAACCTTTTTAAATTAACCTTTTTGATTTAACTTAATTTATTATAACAAGGTGCTAGTTATGGTAATTAAAATAACAATTGTAATATGCAATATAAATTAAAATACAATAAAAATTAGGGCTGTTTTTTCAGTATTTCATACAGTATTTCTAAAGCATATTTAATTTAATTTATACAAAAATAATAAAACAAGTTACTAGTTATGTCAATTAAAATAACAGTTGAAATATACAATATAAAATAGAATAAACTTTCACCACAATATATATAGACATGTATGGAGATAATGTTGTGATTGATGCATGAGTGCTTTCTCACAGTAACGCCTATATTTGATCCATTTTGGATAGTTAAACAATTGTCAGAATGACTTCTGAGAATTTTCTACCTCTAAATTGGTTACAATAAAGGAGACGATATGCCTCTGTCTCAGTCTCACCAGTGTCTCTCTTTCTCAGGTTACGCTTCCTGACAGACATGGAGAGTAAACTGGTTGCACTACGCTCAGAGATTCAGGATCTGAGAAATACTTGTGCACAGACAAGCACCTCAGACACAGGCATCAGTGAGCTGCAGACGCAATGGGAAAACGCACACAGAGCAGTCACAGAGAGGTGATGACAAACACGCATGATTGTATGAAAGCTTTTTGTGAAATGCCATTTTTCTGCACGTATTGCAAAATGGACACATTCGTTTCATGCTTCTATTTCAGTCGTGAACAGTGTGTCTCTCTGACTGAATTTCTGAAGAAGTTTCAGAGCTGCCGAAATCGCTTGGGCAGCACTTTGCAGAAAGCAGAGCAGACTATTGGTGATCAGGCCTCCTATATGGGCAAAGACAACCTGCAGCTCTTGATCAGTAAGGTACAAAGTTACTGGAAAATACTGGGTACAGTGCTTCCATTCCTGGTGGACTGCAGATGGCAGTATTAACTGCATCGTTAATTTTTTGTATTAACTGCATATTGATATTTAAAAAAATGTATATATAACATCATTAGATAAAACTGGAGTCAGAGTGAGAATGAATAAATGCATGCCTATTTATATTTTGTCTATGTGTGTGCAGGTGACCAGTTTAAAGTCAGATCTCAGCGGTCTTGGCGACGGGGTGGAGGAGTTCAGAGCTGTGTGTCGGCAGCTGCAGTCTCTGATGAGAAGGATCCCAGACTGTGCTGACACTCCATTTGAGAGTGAGGCTGATTCCCTCATGGACCTCTGGCTTGATGTATGTTCCCTCAGTAATGTAAAATTTCTCACTCTCTTTCTCAAATAATGTACAGTATTAGAATTAACCTGCTATTTCAGGTGACTGAGAAGACAGACTGTCATCTGGACAACCTTCAAGCTGGCTTATCTCTTTGGGAAAAACTCCTACTGTTGGCTGGAGAAGTGGAGGGCTGGAGCGCCCAAAAGCTGATGACACTTGCTCAGTCAAACCCCTTTCAGACAGAGAAGGACGTGTCTGTCATGGAGGTAAAACCTTTGTTAGTTGACAAACAATTTTAGGCATAACTTTCAAATACACTTATTTTAGAATTGGAGACCAATGTTAAATATATTTGGTGTTAAATTAGAAAAATATATCATTATAACTTGTAACTTGTCATTAAGTGAACATTTATGGAAAAGAAACATGATATTGTTAGTGATATTTACACTACCATTCAAAAGTTTGGGGTCAGTAAGATTTTTCTTTGAAATAAAGGACACGTGATCAAAAGCAAATAAGGAGATGTATAATGTTACAAAATAATTTGTTCTTTTGAACTTTCTCTTATTCAAAGAATCCTGAAAAAGGAAAATATGCATCACGGTTTCCACAAAATTATTAAACCGCACAACTGTTTTCAGGATTGATAATAATAAGACATGTTTCTTGAGCACCACATCAGGATATTAGAATTATTTCTGAAGGATCATGTGACTGAAGACTAGAATAATGATGCTGAAAATAAGAATAAATTACATGTTACTTATTTTACTATATAGTTGATAAAATAAATGTAGCCTTGGTATAGTGAGTATTAGAGACCTCTATTAAATATATATACGTATAACGTACTAACCCCAAGCTTTTGAACAGTTTCTTAAGCTGATGACACTTGCTCAGTCAAACCCCTTTCAGACAGAGCAGGACGTGTCTGTCATGGAGGTAAAACCTTTGTTAGTTGACAAACAATTTTAGGCATAACTTTCAAATACACTTATTTTAGAATTGGAGACCAATGTTAAATATATTTGGTGTTAAATTAGAAAAATATATCATTATAACTTGTAACTTGTCATTAAGTGAACATTTATGGAAAAGAAACATGATATTGTTAGTGATATTTACACTACCATTCAAAAGTTTGGGGTCAGTAAGATTTTTCTTTGAAATAAAGGACACGTGATCAAAAGCAAATAAGGAGATGTATAATGTTACAAAATAATTTGTTCTTTTGAACTTTCTCTTATTCAAAGAATCCTGAAAAAGGAAAATATGCATCACGGTTTCCACAAAATTATTAAACCGCACAACTGTTTTCAGGATTGATAATAATAAGATGTTTCTTGAGCACCACATCAGGATATTAGAATTATTTCTGAAGGATCATGTGACTGAAGACTAGAATAATGATGCTGAAAATAAGAATAAATTACATGTTACTTATTTTACTATATAGTTGATAAAATAAATGTAGCCTTGGTATAGTGAGTATTAGAGACCTCTATTAAATATATATACGTATAACGTACTAACCCCAAGCTTTTGAACAGTTTCTTGTGTATATTAGACTTACATAAATGGTGACTTCTTTGATTTAAAACAGTTTTTTGTTCTGGATGTCACAACTGACAGTATCTGTGTCAAATATAATTGTTTTGCACAGGATGAGCTCAGGATTCAAGAGGAGAACATTGAACATTTCCATCGCAGATCATCAGAGATCCAGGAGCTGCTGCAGAGTCGCGAGTTCCCACTGGAGCTACAGGTGATTTTCGGACACACCAGCAACTCTTCAGAATGCTTTTTTATTTAATTAATGCTAGAGAATGTGTAATGACATTTGTATGCAAAATTGATGTGATATGCTGTGTTCTGTAGGTAAACCTCATGTATTGGTTAGTATTAACCAGCCTAGCTCTTTAACAAATCTTCAAATTTCAGCAAATTCACTAGTTCGTTTTTAAAGGTGATTGAGAGCCAGCTGAGGAAGAAGATGGCAGAGGTGAAGGAGCTCTTTTCTGAGGCCAGTGATGTTTTCAGACAGCTGGGAGCTGCCAAAGGGAAGATGGCGTCTGATATTGCAGATCACCTGTCCTCCATTCAAACTATCACAAATGCACTGACCTCACTGACCACATCTGAAAGCCCACAGGTCCTCAACACCATCCAGGTGAATGTTTATGCTTTAAGACTAAGCTGTGAACACAGTCAAATGTAATGCAGCTGTGAGGTAATGCAATGTAATGCTGCTGTGCAGTATGCAGTGAAGTTCAGTTTTGGCCATTTTGGTCTACATTTGGCTCTCTCAATGGCTCTGTCACATACTGTACTCGAATTTAAATTAATTTAAACCCTCAATCAGTTCACCTAAAAAATGTTTTTTTGATAAGCTAAGCCTACCATTTTGACTGACAGGGCTTATCGGAGAAACTGCAAGCAGAGGCAGAGCAGGTCGATGCATTACTGCAGCAGATAAATCTTCTGGCCAGCATTGCAGGTCTAGAAAACCTGCAGGCGCTGGCTGAAGATGGAGCTCAAATTCAAGAAAGCATCTGCGTGGCTAGAGAGCTGGTCATAGAGAAGAGAGAGCAAGCGATGAACCCCAACAGACCTGAAAATCCTCAGATGGTCCGAGATCCCAAGCACATCAAGCCGCGGATAAAAAAAACAGAAGATACTGCGCCTGAGATACAGTGTGAATCTAATGGTAAAACGGAGGAACAGTCACACGGAGGGCAGACACAAGATCCTCTTCTTGAGTTGAAAGACTTCAAAGAGCAGGCCTGCAGCTGGGCCAGTGAACTGTATCTGAAGGGCGATTTTCAGGTTTCTGAGGATGAGAACAGACAGATCACACTTGAAGAGAAACTCACAGCTGTGCAGGTAGTTTTCTTGTCAAGGGTCTGTTTGTTCTCAAAGGGTGTGCATTTTTAAAGTGGCCTGAGCTGAAATATGAAAATTTATAGCTTTGAGAACTATAATAAATTAGTTTCTTGGTAACTACTTCAGTAGTTATCAGAGTTATTCACTGTTTGTTTACAGCATTTTAAATTCCATTTCACTCCGTCATATAGTGATCTGAATCACTAAAGGAAATTTATTTTTGAACAGCTAATTTCTACTTGCCCTGCCTATTATAATATAATATAATATAATATTAGGTGTTTAATTTGCAGTAATATCTGAACAATTTGTAACTGTAATGTAACTCCATAAAAGGTTCTCAGACATCTTTATCTGCTGCACAGTCCTGTTTACATGTAATTGTGTTAATGTTTTTGTTCAGGATGTGTGTGTTGGTCTTGGTGAGAGTATGAATGAGGAGCTGACGTGTGCAATGTTAATACAACAGAGCCACGAGAGTCTGGACTCTCTACAGGGCCGGATAGAGGGCAGTTCTCATGACTTAAATGCTTTAAAGGTAAAAGACGCAGACAAAAAGCATTCACCCACAATCATACATACTCATATGTAAAATACTGTACCACTACACTTACATGTTTGCTTCGTTTTAGAAATGGATTCATTACTAACACCTCACCAGGGTTATAGTTTCATCCTTTTCAAATTAGTATTTTTCAAAGTATTTAATATTTTAAAAGTTGATTTAAATTCGGTTAAGATTTAGTTCACTTCAGATAAGATATATCTTTTACATTTAAAGCCTTCTTTAAACCACAATGGAGATGATAGTCTCCATTAGCCCTCTCCAGTCGTCTAATGTAATGAGACTAACTGCCTTGGTGGATTCTCGGTAGGCTCCAGAACAAGTGGAAGGAAATCTACTAGAGGTTGAGAAACTATCTGAGGTCCTGCAGACAAGCTGTACTCCCGAGGGTCAGACTGCTCTCTCCCAAGATGTTTGGACGCTGTTTGGAAAGACGCCAGCCCTGAGGAAGATCTTGGAAGATGAGAGGACTCAGGAAGGGAACTCTGATCCAGTTCAAAGTTCCATTCAGTGCATCAAGCCTCAGCAGCCTGGAGTATCCACAGAGGAGCTCCAGTCAGTTCAGGTTAGTTGTGGTGTCTCTTTTGCACAGGAAGTGTTTGGGAAAATAAAATGTTTTGAGTGGTTTTAGTACATTTAGGGCCCGATCACACACAACGCATTTTTTTGCATTGAAAGTTTTTTTTATTTTATTTTTTTAGTTTCTGCTAATATGACAGTTTCCTTAACGGCAAACCAAAGATTTTAGAGCGCTTGTACTATAATCCTTTTTTAGACTGACAGGACAGCTGATTCGGTGGTTGCACACTGCTCTTTTCTAAATGAAAAAAAGTCAGTGCAGTGCGCCTTTCGTTTTCAAACCTGAGTTTTCTGTCTGATCAGGGCCTTATAAAGTACAATTAAGCAATATCAGTTGCCTTTATTGTTCCAAACCTGTATGACTTACTTACTTCTGTAGAACAAAAAAAAGAGGATATTTTGAAAAATATTTCACTTTTTTTTTCTTCCATACAATGAATGTAAGTGGGGTCCAAAACAACACTGGACCCCAGTGACTTTTATTGTATGTACAATACTGAGACATTTTTCAAAACGGCATTTTTTTCTGCAGTAGAAAGTAAATCAAACAGGTTCAGAATGAGTTGAGGGTGAGTAAACAATGACAGAATTTGTGTTTGAAGAGGAATCTCTTTTCTGCAATTATTCTTTGACAGACACGCACTTGCTTTTTCTTTCTGGGTCTGGTTTTGGGGCGGCAGGAGAAATGTCATTGAGTGTACCACTGCGGCGTGGGCACAGAATCACTTTATCCTAGCTAAAACCTGCTAAATGGAGTACCCACTCTGCTCTGCGTCTAGGGCCATTAATGTAGTATGGCACCTCATTGCTTTTAAGTGCTTGTTTTTTACCTGCTCTCTGAGAAAAATACTGGATATTCCTTGTTTTGCTTTGTGGCACATTACTTAAGCCAGGTGCATTTCTGATGTCATAGCTTATCTTTAGACTACATTATCAGCATTATTCTGCTCTGCCTGATGGTTTCTCAGTTTACTTAGAGAGTTGGAAAATGTGTGACAGTGGGTAGTGCACATGCTGATGCCATAAAGTAAAAACGGTAATATTTTGAAATATGATTAAACTTTAAAATAACTTTTGTTGGAGAGAGTGAATTGGAGTATAAGATGCAACTAAGTTACAAATATAAGCAGGGGCTGTCCCATGAATAGTTTTAAATGTTAGAATCCAAATTTTAAATTCAGTACGTGCATGTAATGGAAACCAATTTCAATTTCAAAAAAAGAATCAGGGAAATTTGCTGATGGTCAGTTGTGTAAGTCGGTACCCTCACGGCTGAATTCTGAAAATATTGCAATATCTTGATAGACTAATCAGGGAGACCAAAATAAAGTGCGTTGAAATAATCAAGCCTCGACGAAATAAAGGCATGGATAAGCCTTTCTGCATCAGGCAATGATAGAGGAGGTCGAAGTCTGGCTATTTCATAGATGGAAAAATTTAGTTTTCGAGACCATTTTAATATGGACATCGAACAACATTTTCAGATCAAAATTAACACCAAGATTGCACACTTGAGAGGATGGAGTAACTAATTCAGTCAGTAATCAAATTGGAACTATTACATTTATGCAAAGCCGTTGACATACCAACAAATAAAAGTTCAGTTCATTGATTTAGGCTATTTAAAACAAGGACAATTTAAGATAAATGTTGAAGTATGCAGTATTGTTATAGTTTTATTTAAAAAAAAAACTCATATAAGAAATGTCCAGGAGCTGAATAAACGCACATATATTGCTGAATGAAGTTTATCAATATTGGGTCATAATAGTTATGTTTTTGTTTTGCAGGTTGCCGCTGACAGTGAAGTGGATGACGAAGATCGTATGCCCACAAAGGAAGTCAGTAAAACAGAAGATATATCACCTTGCTCAGAACAACAAGCAACCGAAGATGTTGAGAACCTTCCATCAGGACACGACACAAATAAGCAGCAGTCCATGTCTGGATCTAAAGAGAGGGATGAAACTGGATCTGTATTAAGAGAAGATGACAGCAAATTCACTCATGGCTCATCCTGTGAATCATTAAAGCCTGTCTTTACCATAGTGCTGGACTCTGATCTTACCAAATCCAACCAGATCCCACTGACACAACCTGTCCCAGCTTCTTCAACTAAATGGGATACTGTTTCAGTTGTTCATGATGGGACTGCAGAGACATCAGAGGATGGCTTGAAACTCTTGGAAGTCAAACCAAATGTTGATGTAGCTGTAGATGAAGAACCTGCTGTAATAAGCTCTTCTGATGAACCTGTACATTTATATGCTGATATTTCAACATCAGAAGTGCAGTTTAAAGAAAACAGCCACACCGACACCATTGAACCCACTCATTCTGCTCTAGACCTTGATTTCAGGCCTAAACCAGAGAAGGACTCATCTACTCAAGCATTTGACCCAATGCTTTTTTACCCAGAGAAGTATCAAGCAAGCTCTGGAACGGCTAAGAAAGTATTTACCATCATCCTGGATGTTGATACTCCTACATTATCATCAGACGGGTATCAATCACTGCAAGAGACACAATGTACAGGTCCTGATGACTCAACCACAGATGAATTCTTCCATTCAGATGTAAAAAATCAACAGAAGAACTCCTTTGGTACTGAGAAACATGAAGGCAGAACGGCTGAACTAGGTCTTTCAGAAAAGTTCAATGTGAAATCAAATAGCTCTGAAATGCAGCCAGGACAGAAGGAAGCTCCGCTTATCCAACCCCAAACCCCTGAGATCATAGAGATTGACGTTCAAAAAGATGAAAAAGAGAAGCAACATGAAGTCACTGATGCAGAAGCATCAAGCCAAATGGATGTCCACACTGGAGAAGGCAGTGAGTCAGGGTCTGTAGTTCACCAGCAGGATGTCCCAATGTTGGAGAGTCATGATGAGGATGACAACAACACATCTGAAGAGCCTTCATATGAAGCAAACACACTTCAAAAGCCTCCAAAAGTTGCTAAAGGTAGGAAGAAGAAGAGAAAACCAGTTGGTGCAGAAAAAGCAAACAGTATCAGTAATAAAAAGCTGAACACATGTAAATCTGAACATAAGAACACAACTCACTCAGAAAGCCTTCAAACTTCAGAGGTCAGGCTGCCGAATGCCACAGATACTGCCTGTGTCAGTACAAAGACTGTGTCTTCAGACTTCAGTCAACCAAACACTGCAAAGCCATTGAGTACAGAAAACAAACTAACAGTGGACACTGTGCAGAAAGAGACCTTGAATCAAACTGAGGATGGACATTTTGAAAACATTAGCATCTCACTTGCCGGAGATGCCCATATTAATACCACAGATATGGTTTTAGCAGCAGTGCAGTCTGTACAGTCAACACATACAGAGGACTCAGAACTAGCGCCAGAAGATTATTCATCTGACTGTATAACACAATTTTCTACCACAGTCCCATCAGAGTTACAACTCAGCCATACTGAAGCTCAGAGGACAGAGGATTCAGATGGCAGTTTCCATTTGCAGGTAAGATTCACATAGTTTTTTTTTATTTTTTATAAATTCTTCAAAAATACAGGCCAATCTATTGCATGTGTCATGTGACATCACTCACAAAAACCGTGGTGGTCATGTTCAGTACCTGAATGAAATGTTTTTTCAAGCACTTTTAATGTGCCTTTTGTTATTCAAAACCTTTTTAAACTTATTTATCGATTCAGGATTCAGGAGGACATCATTTGTAATATGGCACATGGGTAGTGAACTTACAATGCTTTTGCTACAAGCAGAAAATTATTTCTTTTCATGTTCAATTGATGCCTTTTCATTTTACATTTTACACCATTCACAGTTCATTCAAAGAAGGAAATTGCTAAAGAATATGAGTGAATAAAAATCATTGAAAGGATTTTAAAAGCTCTATAATTTGCACTGAGACAATTACATTCATTTTCTCCTTTTGTAGTTGATGTAGGCTCATGGTTTAAAAAAATGATCTGAAAGAACTTTCATCATCTGAATGTGTCATAATTATTCCAAGCTGTGCAAAAGACTGGCATTGACCATTTTTATTTGCACTTATTTGCATTTATTTCCATTTTATTTCCTTTCACTTTTTGCCGTTGGAGTTTAACAGTCATATTACACCAAAATATTATTTAATGAATGCGTGAGATTTATTCTATTCTATTCCATTCTATTCTTTTCTTTTCTTTTCTTTTCTATTCTATTCTATTCTATTCCCCATAGGCATCATTCCTGTATCATTCCATGTGTTGGCATTCTAATAGATTTAACCCTCTAGCCTTTACAAAGCAATTAGTTCAACATTTGTGAATGTTGTTTCCTTTCACTTTTTGCCATTGGAGTTTAACAGTCATATTACACCAAAATATTATTTAATGAATGCGTGAGATTTATTTTATTCTATTCTATTCTATTCTTTTCTTTTCTTTTCTATTCTATTCTATTCTATTCCCCATAGGCATCATTCCTGTATCATTCCATGTGTTGGCATTCTAATAGATTTAACCCTCTAGCCTTTATCATGGTTACTGTATATTGTGGCACTTATCCATTTGCTTTGATATCAGGTTATGCAGTATTGTTTCTGTGAGCAAGAACTTCATTAGGCTTCGTTATACCAACTACTTTTAGTCAGCGTTACTTCCTGCAGTACCGCCTCCTGAGGTTGTTTTAGGCTTGAATGCACACCACGCCTTTAGAGGGAAGACTCAATTCCCAACTTGGCAGCATTCCTTGCTCTTCTGACACCGTGACTTAACGAGTCAAAACCAGAGCTGTTTCCCTGTTAAATGAGCAAGCAGGTGCAAGCAATGTTGTGGTGAAAATTTTCACTAAAATATAAACTGACACTTTTGCTTTATTGTAGTATAAAGAAATGCACAGAGCAAATTCAGATTCATCTGCCACGAACAAAACGTCCCAAAACAGAGGATCAGGAGCAGACGGTGAGGATCAAACGAGGCATGCGAAGCAGCCTACTGGGACACATGTGTGGGCCACTTTACTGAATACCATCACTAATGTTCAGCCACTTCTGATCACCAGTCACGGTACTGAGGTATGTATACATTATGATTTTGTTTATGAATTGAACTAGAAAAACTCAAGCAACTTTCAGTAAATTAAACATTTGTACTTTTGAGACAAAAAATGGCTTCAGAAAAAAAGTACAGTTTGTATTTCTGTATCTGTTATAAGTTAAAACCAAGATTTACTTTTGCTTTCAAATATAACTTGACTATTATCTGTTAATCAACTCATTTTTAATCAGTCTTTGACTTTAAGACCATATATTCCCTCAAGGATTCTAAGAGGAAATTGCAAAGGAAGGAGACATTTCCTGTGCTATTTGCTGCTTTTATCTGTACCATTTTCTTTCTGACTGTTTTAAAATTTTCACTATAGTTTCAAATTTTAATACTTAAATTTTTTTTTCAGGAATCTAGACCAAGGAAAGATTCCTGGCTTCAGAACTCATCACTCTTAGAGTCTGACAGCGGTCTGGCATGGACTGTCCTGTGGGTTTTCAGATGTCGGTACAGACCGGCCCAACTTAGCATTGTACATATGGCTCATCAGCTGGAAGAAGTTGAGGTACAGTACATTACCTCATTGCACTGGTTTCTCCAAAACCTCCAGCTGTAAACCGCTGTTGACAGTAGTGGTTGTCAGTACTAGTCATGAAGATCAAGGCTACGTCCACATTAAACCGTTAACATTCAAATTATTTTTCATTTCAAAACATTCTCCATCCACACTAGCGTTTTCAAGTGTTTTCCAAAAGTTTCTCATCCACACTGAAACGTCGGAAAACATTACATTTACCTTACTGCGCACATGTGTAAAACCTCATAAAAAGCTCACTGAGATGATATAGATGGAGCAGACATAAGTTTTCATGCAGTTCTTCTAGCACTATCATTTTATTTACGAAAATATCCCAACATTCACTGGTGTCCAGGTCACACTCACTCACTATTTGTTTGATGTAAAATGCAACTGCCCTCATGTTTTGCCGCAGGACAGCAATTGTGAGTAAATTTCTGTCATCTTTGCAGGACTGTAATACGAAGAGTGTACAAAGTAACCTCATTAGCAACAGTGTGAAAATAGCACATAACAGGCATAATACCGCTATAAACGGATATCTATTGGTCAATGCACGTCACATGACTAAACATGCGTCATCGTTTTCAAAAACCTACGTTTTCACAGTCCACACTACAATACGAAAACGGCGTTTTCAAATTGTATCCACTTTGGAGAGCGTTTTCAAAAAACTCTGTTTTCCTTGACAAAAATGCCGTCTCAGTGTGGACGGAAGGCCAAAACGGAGAGAAAAAAAATGTGTTTTCAAACGAAACTGTATTAGTGTGGACAATGCCCCAATCTACCATTTTTCAAAAACAGCCCGAACAGTCCCTCACTACACCCAGGAGATGTCTGATTACAAAACATATGACTTAAAATGAAGATTTCCAGGTCACATGTAATCAGATTTGTAACTGATTATGTCAACTCCTTTGTTTAAAAGGTCAGATGGTCTTGCTTCCGTTGGAGCTCAAGATGATCTTTAGGTCATCTCAAGTCATGCTGGTGAACATTATCAGGTTTTACATAAACTTCTGGAGTTGATGCAGCTCGAGTGCTCCTGTAATTAAAGCAGAAGGGACAAACCAAATACAAAAACCTTCTGAAATTCACATGCGTTCCATGTATTGTGTATGCAAAGCTAGTTTAAATCTGGCTCACAAGTGAAACTTTTGAATTATAACCATTTAAAATGACTAACAAATGTTATGTCATGATATCTGTGTGTCATAGATCTGCCGGCAATATGTCCTGGAGCAGGTGTCTAGACTGCCTCAATGTGAATCTAGTGCAGGACGCTCCACAGAGCTTGAGATGAGCATAGAGGACAGATGGAACAGAGTACTGCTGGATACCTCAACCATGGTGGAGTTCAAAAAGGCACAGCTCCAGCAGGTCACACAGTACCACCAGCAAAAACGGGTTCTCACGGATACTCTGCATAACCTGGAGGCTGAGCTCAACACAATGACACAGTGAGCATCCTCGACATTTTCTGTGTGTGTGTGTGTGTATTCAGGAAAACCATACATTATGGGGAAAACATTTTTTGGTCCCCATGAGGAAAACATCATATCAATCATACAGAATTAATTTTTTTTAATCAAAAAATGCAGAAAGTTTTGTGGGTAGGGTTTAGGCTAAAGGGACAGAAAATACAGTTTGTACAGTATAAAAACCATTATGCCTATGGAATATCCCCATAAAACATATATACATATAAAACATATATACATACATACATATACATATATATGTACACATACATATGTATAGCTTGTTTAAAATTAAGTGTAAATGGTTAGTGAAGTAAACTGTTGGAAATAGTCATAATAAAGAATGAGTGGGTGTGTCCATTACAGTACTGTACCTGTATTGATAGTGTAGATGTTGTACAACAATGAAAAGTAACCACATTGTTCTGACATTTTTGAAGGGATTGCATTGACAGCAGCACCTTGCAAGTGGAGAAGCTGAATGCATTCCTGAAGAACATGCAGAAGAAGAGAGGCATACTAGAGGAACTCCTACAGACATGCTCTCAGATTTCAGCCCATCTGAATGAGGCAGAGGGACCTGTGGCCTGCATTGAACCTTTCAGGACTTTACAGGAGAGATGGCAAACTATAGAGCGGGTTGCCTCCAGCAGTCTGTGGTGTGCTAACATCTGCACAGCAGAAGTATCTGCACTCCTGCAAGAAGCCAGAGATCTGCACCATGAACTGGAGCTTCTGGAGAAGTCAGTTTCTCTTCCGCATCCCTCTCGAGGACAGATGGACTGCCGAAGTGAGCTACAAGAAACTGTCAGATCTGCAAACCTGACAGCATTAGCGGAGCTCTACTTGTACCTTCTTGAGGTCTCTCAGGCTCTTTCCTCAAGTCCGCTGGGGAAAAAAGAGCTCAGAGATGTGGAGGACGCAATGCAGGGCCTGAATTCTCAGCTTGCTCTGACTCGGGAGACGCTCAGCTCTCAGACTTCGAATGGCAATGGCTGTTCACCGATCACGAGGATTATCAGGGACTACGTTACATGGGCTAAACATTCGGAAAGCAAAGTCAGCAGGAGAAGGAGGTTGGCTCTGTTTCCTGAAGAGGCGAGTCACCAGATCAGCCACATGAAGAAACTGCAGTCTGAAACATCTCTTAAGAAGTTTCAGTTGGCCTCTGTATTGAAAGAGCTAAGAGAGGAAGTTACAGGACTCGACAAGGAGGATTCCATGTCTCCCACCCTTGCTTCCCTAGAGGATTTGTATGTTAAGATTACAGAGAAGACCGAATGTGCTGTTGCAGAAATTAACAGAATGTTTCATATAAGAGAGAGGCTGTGGAAACAGATCACTGACAGCAGCTCTTGGTTAACCTCAGTATTAGAAAAAGAGTCTGGTAAAACAGTGGCTTCTGAACCTAAAACTACTATCCCAGAATTGAGGGTTCAGCTTCAGGTATGCACAGAGGCTTTGAAGGAAGCCGAGAGACAAGCAAATAACTTGGAGACTCTGTTAGATGAAGTAAAAAGTGTGAATCACGGTCTGAGTGTACTCGAAAGCTTTCAGCTTATCAATAGGCTAACAGCCTTACAAGAAGAGGTCTCTAGGGTTGTGAACCGTAAGTGGGCCTTGCGCTGGGTGCTTGAAGAACTCCTTCATGCTCAGGAATCTTCTGCTGAGGAACAGAACGTCATTCTGAAGAGCTTGAGACAGATGAATGCTGATGTCATGAGGCAGAAGTATCCCGTAACAAGGGACTCGCTCTTGGCTCTTGAACCTGTTCAGCACATTCTGATGGAGCTCCTGTGCAAGGTGCCGGAAATTCCACACTGCCCAGATTCTCGGAGAAAAGAGATGCTCAACGCTGTACTAGACCTACAGAGGAGAATGCATCTGCTGGAGTTGCAAGCCAAAGAGCATGAGGAGTGCCTCATTTTAAGGCAGCACATGGAGAACTCCAGAGAGGTGGTGAAGAAGAGCTTGTCGCAGATTGTAGACTCAAGTGTAGGAGCTGACATAAGGCTCGGCTTTTGTCAGGCTGTCCTGGTGGAGCTACCTTTGGTGAGAATGACATGTCAAGAGGCCGCTGACCACCTTGAGGCCGTTTCGAAAGATCTCTATCCATCCCAGCTGACAGCAGAAAGGCAAAAAATCAGTTTGGTCATTGAGCAGCTCGCCTCTTGGGAGCTCACAGTAAAAAATGAGGCTAAAACCCTTGAGTGCTTTCTGGCGGAGCGACTCGGGAGTCCTACAGACCTCAGTCCATGCACTGAGCTCTTCAACAGTGTCAGGCAGCAGCTGAAGGAGAGCATCTGCTTGGAGCCAGATAATAAGACCATTGATGCAGAGCTACGAAAGCACTGGATGCGAATCCAGACCGTTGAGTCTGTTCTACGAATGCTGGAGCACTGCAGGAAAGCAGTAGATGTTGAAAGCTACCAGACGACCACTGGTCTTGGCCAGAAAACTCTTAATGATTGCGGTATGCATATGGTAAGCTCCATGCGTCCATGCATTTTAAAATCACTAATACCACTAGAATGCTACTTTTGTAACCATTGTAGTTTTCTTCAAGTATGCATGTGACAGCATTGGTATTTTTGAAGGATTTTTAGTAGGACTGTGTATAGATTTGTGATTTGATTTGTTTTGGTTTTGATTCTGATTCTGATTCATTTGGTTATATTTCACTTATATATCAATTTTCTCCGTTTTCTAGTGTTTTATACTGATTCAAACTAGTAACTCCTCTTTTTGAATTAATTATTAAAAGAATCTGTTTAAAAGAGTCTTCTTTCAGAAAAGAGAATTTCTGCATTTGGGCAACATTGGTCACATAATATGTTTTTGGTTAAACCAGTTGTTTTTGAATTGGATTATACTTGGTATGTTTTGTTTGTTTTTACATGCAGCCCCCGACAGCTACTTTAGTCATTCACTAGTCATTTATTGCCATTAATTTCATGATACACAGATTTTTATAATTTTTTTTTTTTTTTTTTACATTAGATGTAATACAGACTGTGAAATCTGCAGCAGGGGAAGTGCTATACAAACCGCAATATATCTTGGAGTTTTAAAACTCGATATTGGGATTGTTCAAATGAAAATCACGATCATTTGGAAAAAATTAATATTAAACTCATCTCTAGTTTTTAGAAAACTATGTGTTGTTTATCCAATTTCTAAATTTGTGTTTCACTGTCCAGGACAAGCTGCTCCAAGCTCGGGAGGCACTGAAGCATTACCACTGGGCTGTTCAGGGTGCAGAGAGCTTCTTTCAGCAGATTGGATCCAATCTCATGATCCCCTCTGATGGCTTCAAAGGCTACAAAGAGCAGCATCGCTATATTCAACAGATTTTCAGCACTCTGGTTGAGGGTTTCCAGGCCCGCTTGTCTGAAGTTGGTGCTTCTGTTCCCCAGCAGACATGCCTCTCCATCCCTCTAACCGAGCAGCTTCATATTGAGGTTTTGAGTCACCTTATAGTACAAGATGCCAAATTAGAATCTCAGGCTCAGCTCAGACTTGAGGCCTTACAGAGGTTGGTCATACTCTATAAAGCATGCTATGGATTGTTTTTCTATAAAAACTTAATGACCTTGACCTATGATTCAGATTGTTGCATTCACAGTTCCCTCCGATTGTTGTTGACATTTTCATATCAAATTGGAAGATCATTTTATAATTGTAAATAGTGGGGACTTTACATTTTTGGATTATTGGGGGGAAATGCTTCTACAATAATCAAGCATTTTCTCAGAAAGCTCTTTAAATGGTACCACATACGGTAGAGTACTTGAAAACATTTTCCTCAGAAAACAAGCCCTGAAACGATTAGTCTGGTTGGAATACATCTATTTGGTTAAATGAAATGTACTAGAGGCAGTTTTATTTAGCTGCCTTAAAGGTTCAATCTTTCTGCTCCAATTTAGGTCCATGAAAGACCAAATTGTTCACATGAGTCACCATGAAGAAATGAGCCAACTTCTCAAAAATGTTGATTCTCGAATCTCTAGTCAATGCTTAAGTCAAAAACCGACTGATTCCGAAGCCTGCCAAGATCAAAAGCTGAAAGTAAAGGTTTGTGGTCATTATATAACATTAACAGTCACTTAATTCCATTTTGTTTATCATGCATGTTGTGATTGGTTTAAATGTGTTGCAATAATGTCTATGGAGTTCTTAAGATGATTTGGGGAACCAGTGAAAACTTGCTAACGCTTCCCTTTTGACTCCTGAAAATGAGTTTTTCTTAGTTCCTTGTGCCACTTTTTGTCTCACAACACTGCAAGTATGCTAGATTAGTGTGCAATGAAATTGTCTTCATCTGCAGTTGCTCCAGACAGAGCTAAAGAACCTTGCTAAAAGGCTGGAGGAATTGAGGGAAAGTTGCCCAGGTCTACGCTGCAAAGCACCTGTGGATCTGATGCTGGGACAGCTGTGGAGGTCTTGGGCAGTGCTGCAGTGGAGAGTAGAATCACTCAAAGCCAGCATGTCTCATAAAGAAGCAGAGTGGAGAGACTTTGTGATACGTGTATGTAAAAATAGATTTTATTTAATTGTTTTATTTTATTTATATTTAAAATGTAATTTCCTTATATTATTATGATTAATGAGGTGAGCTGTTTGTTAACTCGTTTCTCTTCATGTTTGGGTCTGCTGTGCAGATGAATAAATCAAAGGAAGGTCTTGACAGACTGCAGAATGATCTTCCAGACTCCACTATGGTGGCGGGATCCCTGGTGGATCTTCAGGTTGTTCTGAGCCTCACTGAGCGCCTTCAAGATGGGATTGAGCAGGAGCATCACACTTTGGCATCTCTACAACACCATGTGGCACGATTGCTTGGGGTCTCAAATTTGCAGCAGCTGAAATTGTGCCCTCAAATCTGCCAGGACTTGCAGTCTTTACAGGGTCACTGCAGAAGGTATGACTTATACACACAGACACATAAACGCATATATGTTAAGAAAATGTTCTGAATCTATACTATTTACAAAGCTTCTTTTTCATGCGTAGCCTCAGAGATCAGAGCAATAACATCCGTCGGGAGGTGCTTTTTGAGATCCAGGAGTTGAGTCGTGTGCAGGAGGAGTTGAGTGCCATTCAGCAGAATGTTCTCTCTCTTTTGGCAGTTTTACAGTCAGAGTCAGCTGCTCAACACTTACAGGTTGGTGCTTGTGTTTGACAGTCAAGGTGTCTGTTTCTGCAGTCCTTGGTGTTGATATTGCATTCATTGTGGTTTATTGCACTGTAGGAAGTCAAAGTGGAATTGGTTTCACAGAAGGCTCGACTGCAGGATGTCATGGACAGAGTGCAGAAGAAATGGAGCTGTGTACCCTCAGAGATTCAAATCTTACAGAATGAGCTCGACGTCTCCATGCAGGAGGCTAAGGACAAAGTAATTCTAAAAAAAATAATAATAATAAAATAAAGATAAAGCAACGCCTTGAACATGTGAAAAAGAACATTTGTTTGCTAATCTTTTTAAAAATATATATTTAAAATGCCACCTATAGTTTCAGTATTTGTGTGTTGTGTGTTAATTTAAATGAAAGCTAATACAGTTGCAACTCTTTATTTTTTTTCTTCAGTTGGGCATGGTCATGGAGAGAAGTGGTCCTCTCCGTAAAATGGGTGAGCTGATTGGAGAGGTGACCGTAGGCTTGAATTGTGTGCAGGCCCTGCTAAAACAAACAAGTCCTAATTTTTCTGAGGCCGAACGTACACAAAAGGTACTTCTTTCTTGCTTGCCTTCACATGCACATTATTGAAATTTTCTGTCAGTTGCTTCATTTTTTTTTCTCTCTCCTTAATTAGTTTTGCGTATTATATAAAAAAAATCATTATTCTTTTATTATATTCTTGCTCTGTAATCTTAAAAATAAGTATAAAACAAACTAATTATAGTGCCGTATTCATTGTAAACAATGTTTATTATAAACAGCAAAACTACTTCATGTAAAGCAAAACTGAAACAACCGGTGTGTGAGTAATGTGCTGTACAAATAAAGAATAAGGAATACACTACACACCCAGATTTTTGCTCTGATTTACAGTCTGGACAAGTTGACGCTAGTTGCTGAAAATCACAGCCAATCTGCAGATCTGAGTTGTCGGATTACATAGAAAATGCTGTAGGGTATGATGGTAACAGACTCTTAGGGCCTGTTTACACCTGGTCACTTTTTCTCTGGTCGCATTTTCTCTGATCGGATATCTGTCTGATTTGTTGAAACGGTTCCATTTACACCTGACCATATAAATGTGTGTCCGCAAAACGGATATAAATCCAATCTTCAATTCCCACGCTACATGCAAATTTAATGGAGTTCACGCCAACGAAAGCAACAGATGTGCACTGCATTTTATTCATCATCAGCTAATTTCAACATTAAAGACCGCAACAGGAGAGAGAGCGGCATCAGCACTAGAAAGATAAGTTAGTCTTACTACTTTTAATGAAGATGATGTGTGTTGACGCCTGCGACTTACTTTCAGTTTCATTTGTGGCAGTTTGCGTGTCGGCTTGCTGAAGAGATAATCAGCTACTCATCCGCGGTGATGCATGTTACATTAGCACTGTCATATCAGGCTATGACATGTCATAGTGTTATAGGCTATATGACATGTCATAGCCTGATATGACATGTCATATAGCCTATAACACGCTCTCACACGTTTATTATTTTAACATTTTGGGAGGACTAAAATTTAGATATGTGATTTCAACAACCAGATGCATTTACACTTGTCCAGTTTCATCTGGATTGCATCCCAGACCACCTCCTGAAGTGGTTTTAAGCGATCAGATTTAAATCCGCCTCTAAAGTGTTTCGAAGGGCATTCACACTCTTTTCATAATCGGATAGCTATCTGATCAGAGAAAACTCATGAAGTGACCAGGTATAAACAGGCCCTTACATTTTTTTTAGCTTCAGACTATGAATCCATGCTGTCAGTCCTCCAGTGAATCCTCAGTTGTTTAGTGTATGATGGCCAGTTTTCCTTTGTAACTATTTACAACGTTGGCAAGTATATGATGCATAGTGTTTTAAAATCTTTTTAGATTTTAAAAGTCTTATAGTGTTCCAGCCTCAAACCTGGGCTCACATACTTATCCCAAATGTGTGTGGTTTGCACGTTTTGCATGCGCGATGTTAGTTGCATTATATAAGTCGTTTTGGAAGTCTTAGCACATTTTAGATAATAATAATAATAAAAATATATTCAGGAAAATGACATTGCATGAACTGTTCTTCCAGCTCTCTCATTTTTAATTTGTGTCCAATGAAATATGATGTCAACAATAACTGCGGTCTGATGTGCATCTGTGCCTGTGTGTGCAGCGTATATGGGATGAGCTGGACCAGTGGCACACGCGGATAGCTGAGCTGGAGGCTGAGGTGCAGGATCTGGCTGAGCAAAAGCCTGAGAGAGAACACGTCCTAATGGACCAGCTCACGGAGCCTCTGCAGCTCTACCAGACCACAGCCAAACAGGCCGAGCAAAGGACCGCCCTCCTCAGCAAAGTCAGATGTTACCCATAATCATGATTTCACAACAAAAACCAATACATAATGCCACTGATAGCAAACCTTGACTGATTATGTCTTTGTATTTTGGTCCCATCAGATCCCTGCCTGTCTGCAGGACTATGAGGGTTTACTCAATAGCTCCAACTGCTGGTTGAGAGAGGCTCAGTCCTGGCTGGTCGCTCCCAGAACCTACACCACTGCGAAATGCATCCACTGCCACGCCAACTCCCTCAAGGTCAGGTCGAAACCTCACAATAAAGTCATTTTGCTTTTATGTAATAACTTGTTAGCAACTCATGTGATGTGTCTGCAGATGATGCTGGATGAATCAGAGGGATACAGGGCAGCTCTGGAGGCCTTCCTGCCTGCCCTGCAGGAGATCACTCTGGTGTGTGACACCAGCCCTCAACAACAACTTCTCCAACTGTGTATACAAAACATCACACTCATACAGCAAAGCGTTCTGGAGCCTCTCTCCCACCTTCAGCACCTAGCAGCTGTAAGAACTATCATTACATTCCAAAAATGTTAAAGAAATTCTATTTACTGTTATATTTACTTATTGTCTAGGTATTGAGACAAGCTTTGACACTGCAAATCCTACGTTTTTAGTTGTATCAGTTCCAGTGAAATTTCATGATTCCTTATATCAGTTTTGGTACCACAACTATTGAACACAGTTCTTTTATACAATATATATATATTAACGTAAGAATATTAAGACATTAAATCAAAACAATAGTGTGTGCATAGCCTTCAAGTATTTCTCAGTTAGGAAAACAGTTTTGTGAACATAATTAATGACACTAATGAATAAATATGAATAAAGTAAATGATGCTTGACTTTTTCAGTAGAACCAAATGTTCAAGAAGAGCAAATATTTTCGTTTTTTTTTCTGTTTACATAAAATGTGCACTACTGTTCAAAAGTTTGGGGTCAGCAAAATGTTTTAATGTTTTTGAAGTCTCTTATACTCACCAAGGCTGCATTTATTTTATCAAAACTGTACTAAAACAGTATTGTGGAATAAATTGTTAATATATTATTATATATTATTTTTGTGAAATAATAAAACATTTACATTTTAAAATCTAATTTATTCCTGTGATGCAAAGCTGAATTTTCAGCAGCCATTACTCCAGTCTTCAGTGTCACATGATGCTTCAGAAATCATAATAATTTGTAATATGCTGATTTGCTGCTCAAGAAACAAATTTATTATGTTAAAAACAGTTGTTCTGCTTAATAATTTTGTGAAAACCGTGACACGTTTTCTTTAGGTTTTTTTGATGACGAGTTCAGAAAAACAGCATCTATTTGAAAGCGATTTTTTTTGTAACATTGTTTTTACGTTCACTTTTGATCAATTCAATGCATCCTTGTTGAATAAAAGTATTAATTTCTTTAAAAAAAAAACAGAAAGAAATCTGATTTTATTTGCATTAATACATCAAATGGTGTCATAACATTAAAAAACAAACAAACAAAAAAAACTTACTGAATTGGAAGTATTGGATCTTTTGATATCTGTAACAGTATATACTTAATTTGAAGGGTTTTATGAGGTTCCATTACTTGAATTACTTCCTAGTATATAATACTATGATGAAATTTCTTAATTATGTTGTCTATATTTTAATTGTAATTCACTTATAACTTGTTTTTAGGAGATGGACGCCATTGAAGCGGAGGTAAAGACAATGGAGAAAAATATAACTAAGATCAGAACAATTCTTTCGGCCACTGACACAGAGAACATTTTTCCTGAGGAACATCTTAAGAACATACAGGTACTGTACATCATGTCTCACTATTCTCTGTTTGGACTGTAAACATTTACAGTACCTCATATCCCTCCTATCCTCTGTAACAGGTCATTCTGGATAATGTCCAGTCAATGAAGAGGACCATTGATGAGATTGAGAGCTGCAGGCCAGGCCTGGGGCTTCCTGCTGGGGCAGAACAGACTCTCACAGCCTTCCATCGGGCCCAAGAGCTCCTGCAGCCAATCCAGGAGCTACAGCAGCTCAGTGTGGAGCGGAACACCGCGTTAATGGTCTGGTCGCTCTAATAGTTTGCTTGTGTTTACCAAGAGTCGAGGTTTCCCACTTACTGAGCTAGAGTGTGTTTGAAAGTGCCCCTATTATGCCAATTTCAAGGTTCCTAATATTGTTTTGGGAGTCTCCTACAATAATAGTTTTCTCAAAATATGCAATTAATATCCCTCCTTTCCATGCGCCTGCTCTCCTCTGATTGGTCAGAAGGCCCAGTCTGTTGTGATAGATCTACCGCGTACAGCGTGTGTCCGAAAACATACGCCCATTGCCATAGTTCATATTTTGAACGCTCGATAGAAAATATAAGCATCTATTATTTATCATACTTACAGGTTGTGATTCAGTGGAGCCAGCTGGTCCAAATAAACTGTGTATTGAGCCATCTTTCAAGAGCAAGTGTTTTGTGAATCCCACGTTGAACTCCCCCAGATTAGAGAAGCAGTCAGTTCTTTCTTTTGGGAGACAATAACTTTGTTATTGTCTCCCAAATTTATTGTGCTTTACAACTTTACATATCATTTACATTAACATACAGCTACATTACACACTGCATGAAAGTCAATATTCGAAATGGCATAATAGGGGCACTTTAACTTATTTACTTCATGAAAAGCAGCTTTCAGTAGTTAGTGTTTTACAAATACCTTGTTTTTTACACCACATTTAAATGTTTTTGTTCATGTTGAGCTGGCAAATTTAGCATCCCCCTCTCAAGTGACACCTACAGGAATGTATTCATTTATAGTGATTGCTAAATATAAAATACATATAAAACTTCCACAACTGGTTACCATTTTATTTAATTTCACTTAAAAAAAATAGCTATTTTGCAGATTATTTATTCCTGTGATGTGAATGGCTTTTTTAAAAGTTCAAATATTTCTTGTAGTCTTTACATTAAAGCTGCATGTGATTCAGTGGAGCCAGCTGGTCCAAATAAACTGTGTATTGAGCCATCTTTCAAGAGCAAGTGTTTTGTGAATCCCACGTTGAACTCCCCCAGATTAGAGAAGCAGTCAGTTCTTTCTTTTGGGAGACAATAACTTTGTTATTGTCTCCCAAATTTATTGTGCTTTACAACTTTACATATCATTTACATTAACATACAGCTACATTACACACTGCATGAAAGTCAATATTCGAAATGGCATAATAGGGGCACTTTAACTTATTTACTTCATGAAAAGCAGCTTTCAGTAGTTAGTGTTTTACAAATACCTTGTTTTTTACACCACATTTAAATGTTTTTGTTCATGTTGAGCTGGCAAATTTAGCATCCCCCTCTCAAGTGACACCTACAGGAATACTTTTACAACTTATATAAGTGCAAAAGAAGACAAAGTTTAACATGCATTTAAATGTTTTTGTTCATGTTGAGCTGGCAAATTTAGCATCCCCCTCTCAAGTGACACCTACAGGAATGTATTCATTTATAGTGATTGCTAAATATAAAATACATATAAAACTTCCACAACTGGTTACCATTTTATTTAATTTCACTTAAAAAAAATAGCTATTTTGCAGATTATTTATTCCTGTGATGTGAATGGCTTTTTTAAAAGTTCAAATATTTCTTGTAGTCTTTACATTAAAGCTGCATTACGTAACTTTTTTGTTTAAAAATGATCCAAAATCAAATATTGAGCAAAACATAACCAATCAGTGTTCAAAACTATCTCCTTACTTTAGCCCGATTCACAACGGTAAGCTTGTAATGTTTTCTAATTTGAGTGGTTTGTGTCGGTTTCCGAGTTTGCCGCCGTTCGTCTTTGCGTCATTACGTCACGTCTTTATACATAAAGAAGGAGTCCCGGCTAGTAGGCGATATTGCGTGTGTGGATGCTGCAGGTGGCGGATCATTTGTAGCCTTTTCTTACAGCAGCTGGAATGTCATTTTAGAAAGAGTTGTAAGGAACATTAAATTGTTTTTTTGTGGTTAAAAGAACAATTTCTTTTGATGACATTCGAATGATTGAAATCTACAAATAACGCTAACACACACTAAATACAACGCAATGTTGATGTTGTTAACATTAACAATTTGAGAACAAAGTATATCAATAATAATAATAATCACCATTGATAGTGTGATTTATTATAAAACTTTTTTTGTTCAGTTTTTTTGCCAAAACTGTCAGACCTGTTACTTGTTCAGATGACATTTTCGGGGTGAAACTTTTTATTTTGGACATACTTGTAAGATGTAGTATCTGTAATTCTGAAGTACAGTGAATATCCACACTGGTGCGTTAACTGACAGCCTACACATACACCTCAAGTCATTAGATTCATCCTCGCTGAGGAGCGGTGCCGAGGCACAACCCACGTAAAGAAGATAATTCCGCAATTAACTGCAATTGCAGATTTCAAACAGAGATGGCGACAAAGAGGCAAAACTTGCGTAAAGCAGCTTTAGTATGAGACCATAAAAACTTCATAAACAATAATTATAAAAGACTTCTTTTTAAAATTATAATTTTTTTCAAATTACATTTTAAATTAAATATGTAATGTCACATTGCAGGGCAATGCTTGAAATGGCATTATTAGAGGATAGATAACTTTTACATGAATTATAGTTGTCATAAAAGACAGCTATTCAGTTTCAGTGGGGGCATTTCCTTAATAAATAAATAAACAAATAAATATCAAGCTATGAAACAATCGTGATGAGTTGAAATTTTTTCAACCATTCAAACACATCCATTTACAACATTTCCAGCAATCAAATGGAGAGATTTATAATGCTATATTTAAAATGACCTTTGGTCTAGTCAGTTTTAGTAAGAACATAATATGTGACCCTGGACCACAAAACCAGTCATAAGAAAAATCTATAATTTTGACCCATACAATATATTTTTGGCTATTGCTACAAATATACCCAAGCGACTTAAGACTGGTTTTGTGCTCCAGGGTCACATATTAGTTCATCTTATGAAAGTGCAGTAAATTTGTAGTGTTTTTAGTGACCGTTACCGCCACGTAACCTCTGCTTTTCACTTTCATGTCTGGGAATGAGAGGATGAGAAAATCCCTGCATTGAAAGCCAACTCAGAAAAGGGATTTGTGTGAACCTTGATTTTTCTGATTGTGCTTAAAAAATAAAGTGCTTTAAAACTTTAATATGGTATGGCAGTAAATCATTACAGGCATGGCTTTATTGGCAAAGGCAGTAGTATCTAGTTGAGAAGCTCATGATCTTTATCATATGACCTTGTAACAGTGACTTTGGTTTGCCCAAGTTTTACAACTTGATGAAACTAAGTATTTTCTTTTCAGGCCTCTATTGGGCAACCAGCTGAAATGATTCTCCCTTCAGACCAAACCACAGAATTCACGATGCCTCATCTTTACACTGGAGATGTGAGGGTAAGTCCATCAACTCAATCAAAAATACACCTTAGAATCAGCTCAGAAGACATCTAAGATGAAGATGAGTAAATAAGACTAAATTAGCTCATTAGTTCTGTCACTATAAAAACCTAAAGAATAATATGTCCTTGCATAACCCTGGTGTAACAGGTGTCCATGGAAGCCCCTTACACTGAGGAGGAAGATGAAGACAATCAGTCTTCATCCTCAGGAACTCTCACAAGCAGTATTCCAGAGGTAAAGCCCTCAAAACCTTCAATTTATCTCCCAGGCTGGATGCATCCGTTTGCCAAAACCTGAAAAGGGAACATTTCTGAACTCTTGTACACTCTCGAACTCTTTGCTATGGCTGTTCATTTGCATGTTTAATTTTTTATTTATATACATTTATGAATGGAAACTATTAATATAAATCTAAATAAATGTATATAATATTATTTATGTTTATTCATATTTTTTTCTTTCTTTTTTAGATTATGCTAAGGTCTGTTTTCTCTATAATTTCACAGGAATTGGTCGTAGATGTTTTTGTTAGTCCTGGAATTGCATGATCGCAATTATCTCAGCACTGTTGCTATTAGAGTATATGCTAAATTGCACTCATTGCAGAATGCCGGATATAACTCCACTTCTTCTTTCAGTAACAGCTGCTTTCTTCATTTGTCTTTATGGAGTCTATTCTTCTAATACACTGGATCATCATCTCTAATAATTTAATCTAAACATTTTTCCTTTTTTCTGTACCAGGACCCAGATGAGACAATAGAGGAGGAAGATATTAAGACAGGCGCTGCCTCTGCTGTAACAGAGTGTGTCACTAAGGTAAAGACTGACCCCAACAAAGTTATCTGACTCTTTCTCTTTTATGGCAGACAATCATTCATTATCATTTTTCCGCACATTCCTCATTATGAAATGGATAGTTCTGACTGATTGGATGAGCCCTGCTCAAATTCATTGTAAAATGCCAATAAACGCACACACATGTAACTATATTCTGTGTTAATGTGCTAATTTGCTATAGTGCTTGGCAACCACAAGCAGCCTTCTGTTAGAATGATGAACTTAACCGTCATTCAAAAGATTGGGGTCGTAAGATTTTTAATGTTTTTGAAAGAAGGCTCTTATGCTCACCAAAACTGCATTTAATCAAAAATACAGTAGAAACAGAAATATTATTACAAGTTAAAATAACTTTTCTATCTGAATATATTTTAAAATGTATTTTATTCCTGTGATGCAAAGCTGAATTTTCAGCAGCCAATATTCCAGTCATCAGAATCACATGATCTTTCAGAAATCATTCTTAATATGTTGATTTCCTATTATTAGTGATGCTGAATTTTTTGTTTCAAATTGCTTAATATTTTACATTTATACAATACAAACAGAGTGGGATCTATATACAATGAATAAACTCCATGAAATTAGTCCCAATGTTGGCTAATGTGCTTTTAGATACCTAAATACTTCCTTTAACCATGGTGAAATCACTGCACTGCTGCTAGTGGCTTACTGTTTTTTGTTTGTTTGTTTTTAGGAATCATCTCCTGAAGAAGTAGTTGATTTTCCTGCAATTAAGCATGTAATACAGGACACTGACACAGGAAGTTGTTTACTGGAGCCTTCTGGCTTCTCTGAAATGCCTGGCATAGACAGCAGACCAGTTACTGAAGAGACAATTTCCCTACCTGCACTAACATCCCAACACTTAAAAGAATTTACAAATGATAGTTGTCTGAAGCCTGACAGTGCAAATATAGCTAAGGAAAAGCAAAACGAGTGCACAGAAACCAAGCTGACTGAAGCAGTACCAGCAAAGCCAGGAATATGCTCAGAAATCACCATGTTAAAAGCAAGAGATGCCAGTGAATTGATTGAAGAGTCTGAATCTGTAGATCAGAATGAAGTAACTGTAAACACAGAAACAGGTACACGTGATCAAGTGAAAACAACAGCTGCAAAGCCACCCGACACAGAGGCAGTAAATGTTACTGATGGTGACCAGACCCAGACAGATACTAAACCCATAGACGCCGCAGCTCCTCTTTTGCTCTCCTCCCAGCTTATAGAATGTGTGCCACAGGAAGATACAACACTGGTAATTCTATGTGAAATCTAGGTGTAAGCTCACATGTATCATTTCATTTCCACTATGGTCCATGTTTTATATGACTAAATACTGCCTTTCCTACTCTTTAGGAAATACAGAGAGATCTGATTGAGGCCATCATTCACGAGAGCAGCAGCCAGTCTCAAGAACACACATTTCAGCACACAGCAACTGTCAGCGATCTGTCACAGTCTGAAGGAGGAGGTGAAGATCAAGAGAGTTTAGTCCAGCTTCTCACCTCATTGAAGGAAACTTCGGAGACCCTTGGATCATGTCAGGATATCAGCTCTTTCGAGGTCAGTTTCAGCCCTGCAAAAATGCTTACTAAAACCAAAGAACTACCCTGAGAGTGAACAAGTGTCTGTGTGCATTTTCTGTACTGTTGAAAAGGTTTTGGTTGGTAAGACTTTTTAATGCTTTTGAAAGAAGTCTCTTTTGCTCACCAAGGCTGCATTTATTTGATCGAAAATACAGTAAAAACTAATATTGTAAAATATGATTACAATTTAAAATGTCTTTTTTGCTTTAATATATATATTAAAATGTATTTTTTTCCTCTGAAGGCAAAGCTTTATTTATTTATATATATATATATATAT